TGTCTGCAGTTCAATCAAGATTCACCTCTACCCTTCAGGCCGATTCACGCTTTTCGCTACTACGCATCTGCCAGGTTGACGTAAATTTCATCATCCCCCAAGTGTCCTGAACGCACATGCGCCTGGAAAACAAATGCGCATAATGAGCACAGCTTGCAGGAGGATGTGAATGTGTCATCCACATATTTAAAATTCATCATTTCAAAAGTTGTAATTAAAGCAGACATTGTGGGACTTTAGCAGTGCTTTGATTTGGACATGTTTTCCATCGACGGTGCCCAAACACAGTGGGAAGTCCCAGATTCCCCAGAAATCCTGTGCTATGTCCGCCCACTGTACTCGGCAAACGTCGGGAATAATCATATTGACACAGTGCTACACATGAGCTGGCATTTAACCAACATGCATGCGCAGCATTTTGTAGTAGGTGGGACTTGTAGTGTAGCGTTACTATGAAGGAGGAGGCTTATTTTTTGTGAGCTGCAGATGGATTTGTTGACTTTGAAACATCCACTCAAAATCTCTTTGATAAAAAAAGACACAGCGTCCAGTAGCGAGCGTGAGGCTGCATATTTTCTCACAACTTCTCCGGCAAGCTGTAGGTAGGAACAATGGCAAGATGTGATTCTACACATTCTGTAAATCATCTTCACGAGGGCCCTGAAGATTCTTTCAACTCGTGCTGCTGAATTCTGTCATCTGTACAACCACAGCTGTATTTATGCAGGATTTATACTCTTTTTGTTTTTTTCTGATAGTGCCTGGCAGCCTCCTGTAAATCCAGACTTTTCTGATTTTGTTGAAATTGCCCTCTTGTTGGCACAAAGCAGCAATTAACCCACCATCAACCTGTGGAGGTAAGGAGATAAAATCAAACAATCTGAGCTGAGAACGAAGCAACAGCTGCTGATTGTGTGGACTGATAGATGAAACAGATTGGATCTATCAGAAATAAGATCATTAATTACACGCTGAATAAATCATCACAAAGTAAGTGGTAATCACCCTGTCTGTGTTAAGCCAGTGTGTTTTTGTGTGTGTGTGAAATAGACTGAAATATCAAGTGAAACAATTCATTACATGGACACTATCAGCATGCTCACTCAGCAATCCATATGATGTAAAAGGAAATATGACTCATGTAACCAGACCACCTTCTGCTCTTCCTAGATGGTCCAGTTCTGGCCAATCTCAGAAGACAACAGTCATCATGGCCACTCTGAGGTACCGTGTGTGCTGTCAGTTGTCAATCCCAGCCAGCATCAAGATTTGCAGCACATTTCCAGACCACCCAGGCCAGCCGTGGCTCCCCATGGACATCAGTGAGCTATGGACGCCCATGACCCTGTTGCTGGTTCACTGATTCTCCTTCCTTGGACCACGTTTTACGAGTCACTGCATACCGGGAAGACTCTACAAGACCTGCCGTTTTGGAGATGCTCTGACCCAGTCATCTCGCCATCACGATTTGGAAAAGAGGTTCAGATCTTTAGGCTGCACATTTTTTTCCTAATTCCCACACATCAACTTCAAGAGCTGTTTGTTGACTTGCTTCCTAAAGCATCCCACTCCTTGACAGGAGCCAGTTTAACAACATATTTAGTGTTTTTCACTTGACCAGTGGGTGATGTAGAGTTATCAAGAGGCATAAAAGCAAAATTAGGACAAAAAGCTGAAGCTTGTCCATGGACTTAAAGATCATTGGTAAAATGGTGCAGCAGAAGCCAAGACAGTCCCACCTGAAAACCCGGTTTGAATATTGTGGCTGATCCATGTAGATCAAACTGTCTGTTGACAGTCCTGATGGCCTAGACTAGTATGAGTATGAATTTAATGGAGTTTAAATACACAAAGCAAAGGTTTGTGGTTTGATACACAACACTAGAATAGTGAATATGCTAATAAATTCCTCAATTCTGACCAATGTGGACTTTGAAGGCAGATGCAAATGTGGTTCTACTTATACTACAACAGCTAGGTCTTGGTCTGCTATACAGATGGTTGCATTGCCCCTCAGATTGAAGGATGGTTGTGACCAGCTGGCTGTGACTTTGAAAGCACGGTGTTAGTGTAATTATTTCTGAGGTTTGCCCAGAACTAGCGCAGGCTTTCTGGAGAGTTTAGAACTTCCTATTGTGTGTAGGCAATGTTGATGAAAACCATGTACAAGTCAAAGCCCCTCCAAAGTCATCCATCCATCCATTATCTATACATCGCTTGATCCTCAGTAGGGTCACAAGGGGCCTGGAGTCTATCCCAGCTGACTCAGGGTGAAGGTCAGTCTATCACAGGGCTACATTTAGATACAGACAACTAAGCACACTCACATTCACAACTACGGACAATTTAGAATCACCAATTAACCTCAACATGTTTTTGGATGAGGGCTGCAAGGCGGCTCGGTGGTGAGTTAGAAGACCCTTGGTTAGGATGTCTGGGACCTTTCTGCCTTTCTGAGTTTGCATGTTCTGGGATAGGCTCCAGCCCCCCTGCGACCCTAGTGAGGATTAAGCAGTGTATAGATAATGGATGGATGGATGTGGGAAAAAGCCGGAGAACCTGGAGAGGACTCACACTGCACAGGGAGAACATGCAAACTCCACACAGGCGTCCTAACCGGGCCCGGGATCGTCTAGCTGTCAGGCGACGATGCTAACAGCCGAGCCACCGTGCAGCTCCATGTCCAAAGTCATACAGCGACTAATTCAGTTACACTCTTTCATTGAGGAATTAGAAAGGTGGGGATGATGGAGAATATCCTCACAGTCTCTACAGATAGCAAGCACTTGTTTTAAGCTCCATTTGTTTTCCTGGCGCATGTCGGTCAGCGCGCTTAACTGTACAGTAAGAATAAGCTGTCAGCTGTTGGATAGTGGTGTCAGACATATGGAGTTTTTAAATAGCAGGCAAGAAAAAATCAGTACAAGAAGCTAAAATGTGTCAACGGAAATAAAAATCTGTCAGAATCAGCGTGGCAGTAGCAGTGATAGACCGTCGTTAGCGAGGGTCCAACACAGCCGCACTTATGCAATTTGATGATTTCTTTCATTCCTTTCACGCCCATCTTCCAGATCCCATTTGTAGTTTCGACTTTCCATTAAGAAGTCATTACAACCCCCAGTGACATCATCAGGGGTCATTTTCTCCGACTCAGACTGAACTCCTCCCCGTTCATACATGACGTGTCCCTCTACCAGGAGAAGCCGTCCTCCTGCAGATGAACAAACTAATTTAAATAAACCCAGCGGTCGGTGACTGCGGCGCTTTAGTAAATGTATGTAGTTGCTTCCCACTGCAGCCTGAACTGCACATTCAATCATGCACACACACACAGATGGAGAATTTCATGGACACACTCACACACCCATTAGAAATGTAGCTTCCAAGAAACCAAGTGATGATATCTAATAAGAAGTTTTGCCCACCTCTTTCTGTCTTCTCTTCCTCTTTGATCTCCCTCCCTCTCCTCTCTCTCTCTGCCTCTTTCTTCCCGTAAGCCTCAAACTCTCCGTCCTGCCCTCCTCCCTCCCCCGCCTTTCCTCCCTCCATTCTTTCTGCCTCGCTCTCCCACCCCGCGAGTCTCGAGCATGTTATTTAAGTCAAGGACGGCATTAGCATGACGATCACAGCCTTCTATCACAAGTCTCGTCTGCCAAGACTGGAGCTGGAGGAGCCGGGGCTTTGTTATTGGATGGCTGGGAGAACGACTAAACATGTGGGGAGCAAAAAATAAATAATAAAAAAAAAAAGAGAAGCCAAAGGCAGATAGAGACGGGATAACATGGTTGGTGAGGCATCAAAAATGACTTCAATTACGTCAAAACAAAGCAACACATGCATCTACATACAGAGAAAACATAATCTGTTTATGTGGCGTACGCTGCACTGATCTGCGTGCTGTCAGGACAAGTGTTAAGAGATAGGCCTACAAAGAGACTCAGAAATCACGCCCTTCATCATATGTACGGCTCGTACATCATTATCTGAAAGCCTCAGAGAAATCAGATCAGACCGTATATATCTGACGTTCTTACCATGCACGCACCACATTGTCTTCACCAGGCTCGCTCTCACTTCATCTCCCGCCTTCGTCTTCCTCTCTGGCTCCTATTTACAAACCTATTTATTACAACAGGAAATTAAAGCGCAGTTAATTGTATCATAAACGCACATCTGTGTTACTAAAATCAGATAGATTTCTAATAAAACAGATGCCTTTCTGGGCTAATTTCTCCCTTCACCAACACCGCTGCCGTCTCACCTACTGTGGGCTTCGGTCTCACGCACATCCTTTCGCTTTATTTGACTTTGTGGGGAGCTGAAAGCGGCGGCACTGCAAAAACTGGTTCAAAGACACACTCCAGTAATTAATCCAAGTTAGCCACTGCTGCCCACACCAAAATATCTGGATACTCACCTTTTGTACACACCTTGCAGTATTCATGTTCGGTCTGGGTCTTCGTAGCAGGCAGAGAATAAAAGATGGGGTCTGATATTTCACATGGCTTTCAGTCATGAGGGGAGGGAGGGGAGAGCCGTGTGGCCTTGGAGAGGGGAAGAAAAAAAAAAAATCCAGCTGCATATTAAATGTACTCAGGCATTTCATGGCCTGTCAAATCTGGGTGGGATTCGTGATGCACAGAAGACACACCGTCTCATTTCCTGGGTGGTGTGTGCACACGTGGACGCCTGTGCATGTATGTGGACAAGGTCTGGCCACGCACACACACACACACACACTCACACACACACACACACACACAGCAGCAGTCAAGCCTGCTATCATTTGAATTCCTCCCCTGTGGTGACTCCATAAGACATGTCAATTTCCATCATGCTGTCAGAAGATATAAACACAATAGAACTGAGAAGAAAAAAACAACAACAACAACAACCAAAAACAGGCTTTTGCTATCATTCATCATGGCACAAGTTAAATGCACCTTCACGCATGCGGGTGGCGGGGACACACAAACACAAGCCAAAGACGCGCTCATCCGTTGCATGGTGAAAAAATACATTTATTGGAATCTGTGTCAATGTAGAAAAAAGTGAAAACTGGCTTTAGGTTTTGTCACAGTACCACAGGTGAATATTCCAGCAGCCGTCTGGTGAGCCGAAACTAAGCCAGCGAGCTCGTTTAGGGCAGTACATCTGCTACTGATGACAACAGAGAAGGCGGCCTGCGGCGGCCCGTGATACCGAACACATCGTTCTCGCAGACACCGAGAAGCTCAGGCTGCTCCAAAGACACACCACCAGCAAATACACATGTTGTACAGCAATTAACCTAGACCAATGTTCTCTCGGTTTAATGTGGGTTTTGCGGGACAGGCTTGATTTTTGTTGTGATACTGTTACAAATCCCTTTCCAATAACTATAAAGCCAGGGCTGCTGACTGCCAGCATCCAAGGTGGCTCAAAGGAGCTTGTATTGTATGATCAATTGTGGGCCTGTGTTTTATAACTCATAAGTTGGGGCTGTAATATCCCATTTTGTCCAAGACCCTGGAAATAACTCCAGTGGCCCTGTGCAAAGCTATGAAGATCATGCATCATCGTTGATGTCTGCTAGGGCCTCCTTTTGCTATTCACAGCCTGCCATTCAAATAAAGGGAGTATCACATTAGTGTTTTACTTTCCTTCTCTGCAGAAGTCACTTGTTTTTTTAAATGCAGGCATTTCTGTCTGAACAAATATCTCTATTATAAACATACTTTAAGTGACAAATTCTACTCTGGCAGGCCGGACGTTATTATGGGTAGTGCATTTCTATTTCTGATATGACAGGATAAGTCTCACAACACATGGCGAGTCTGCATACTTTATGAAGTCAACAGGAAAGAAAGAAAAAAAAAAAGGCATTTGAAAACAAAAAGGACATTTCTAAACTCAGATACTGAGCATTAACATTGAGAGGTCAGTTATTTTTTTTCCCCATACAACTTTCTTTACATATAGACTTATTTTTTATTCTTAAATATCTTAAATCTCATATAAAATAATTCATCAGAAACCAATTCTATATACACGGACAAGAGTGCACAAGATGGATAAAGAGATGGTGTGCATGCTGAGGTGTGTTTTTTTTTTTTCTTTTTTCTTCTTTTCGCTAGAGCAGGGTTAGCTTGTGAGATTATATGCGCTGCGTCGTGTTGGCTTTTTCTGACGGAATGTATGACCGGTTGTTGTCTGGAGCATCATATTCAATACCATCATTCATAAAACAAACAAGTGCTTCTAAATCAATACGGAGACTCCTTTGCCTTCTCTTCTGAGTGGCGATTCTTCAAAGAGAATGTGACCTTCATGGGAAACCAAAGAGTGATCTACACTTCAACCTTGTCTCTCCTGACACCAAGTTATCTACCAAAGCAGAACATTACATTTCTCTGGACTGGATTCCAGGATAAACCTAAGCTTGAAGTCTTGCTGAATGGAGGGGGGAGGATAGTACAGTATTTGTCGGGAAATAGGACCAACCCAGGAGTAAAATAAAACATAACAAGCTGCAACAGTCGTATCAGATCAAGGCAAATAATATGTTCATGGATAGGCATTCACTTACACCGTTAAAATATAGTTACGTACAGGCATGCATGCTTAGGGGCGGCTTTCATAAGACAAGTTCAAAATAAATAAAGCATAAAGGGATTTTCTCTGGGTTTTTTTTTGTTTTTTTTCTCCAGCTTTGGCCAATACTGGGCGACGTGTTTTATTAGATTAGAGGGAAAATAGTCGGACATCATTGATGTTTAAGCAGCTTGTTTTTGTTTTTTCTCTATGACCACACAAAAAAACATGTTGATCGAGTTTTATAAAGAATCATATGCGGATTTTCCACTGAAGCTTGCTAAGCTGAAGAGAATTTAAAAAACAAAAAAACACTTGTTTGGCAATGAACTCGCTGTGAGTACCCGGCTCTGTGCGGCACAATGCTAATAAAAAAAAACTGGATCCAACGACTCATTGACACCAACTCTCTATTCACAATGGCCTGGCTGTTGCTGTTGTGCCGTTACTTACTTCTCTCCAGAATAGAAAAAAAAAAAAGAAAAGGAAACACAATAGTGAAGACATCATATAGACAGCACAATCAATACCAACCTGGATAAGAGGATGCTTGATTTCACTTCTCTTTTTCTGTCGCTTTGAGTTTTTCACAACTTAACTGGCACCCACACATCTCTGGCAAGCGACAGTATCTTTGTATATTATTTAGAAAATCTCTAGTAGATATTCACAGTTGCTTGACTGAATGGCAAAAATACCCATGAAGTCTAAAATTGCTGGTTTAGTCATCTAAAACATGGATGCCAAGAGTTCTTTAAAGTACTGGAGGTTCACTGTCGTCGGAGACTATCGATGGATTCAGATTCAAAGTGTAAAAAAATCTTGCAGCGTGTCGCCTTTGAGCACTAACACACATATTCATACGTACAACCATTCATTTTCTTGAATATATATATAGAGAGAGATAGATCTGTAGTAATATGGAACAGTGGAAATACCTTCAATTACATCTGATGGCATGACGTGACACACATTTCACAAATTCTTTGTGATGGAAGAGATTCTGTTCTGTCTATGGATGCTCTGCAGGGAGCATTTTGCATGATATCAGATTTCTGTACAGTAAAACAGCACACATAAAAACATGAGGACATTAAAATAAAAATATCCCACGCTGATTGTGATGTTTAAAATGTTATTCAATTCTCTTTTTTTTTATTCTTTTTTTTTTAATTCTAGAAAGGGAGGCGAAGGTTTATTTTGGCAGGACGAGGCAGGAGCGCTGCCTGCATCCCCTGTTTTTCCCTTCCCACACTACACAGTAGTTTCATTCTTCCAGGGTCCAGTGCGTATATTTCCTGTGCTGTCCGAGGTGTACAGGAGTCCTTCATGCAGCCCCCCTTTTAGAATCCCATTCTGATTGGGGGGGTTCTGGGGGTAGGATTGTCTGCGCGGGGCGTGCATCTCCAGGTGGTGATGTGTCGCCATCGGGTCCTCCTCGGCCACTTTGCCGCAGCCACACAAGAAGACGCCTGTTTCTCCTGCCTCTGCCGGGCACAGCGAGGGGAAAAGGTCTGCCTTGGCACAGCAGATGTGCCTGTGGCAGGGATTATGGCACGCCAGGGACTCGTGCGTGGCTGCAGCAGCGTGGCATGTGTGATGCCCATCGTGGTGGCCCTCGTGGGCCAGATGTGGACAGATGTGGGCGTGACGCTCGTGTGTGCTGTGGGGGCTGTCAGTGTGTGAGCTGTGAACGCTGCCTCCATCCCCGCTCGAGGGGATGTGGTAGGCGTACTCCCGCTCACCCCCTGCTCCACAGGAGGCAGCCCCGGCTCTGCGGCTGAAGTGACGCCCTTTAGTCCTGCTGCTGCTCTTTAGGCAGGGATGGAGCTGGATGCCCGGCCGGTAACCCTCCGGGTCAGCGTGTAGCAGCACATGTGTGGCTGCGGGCTCCTCCTCCATCAGCTGCTGGCTGTGCAGGGCGGCGCAGCACGGGGTCACCGGTGCCAGACACGTCACGTGATTTTGTGAAGATGGGAGGGCGGCGTGTTTACAGTGACCTAAGCTGCCATGACTGCAGCTTATCAGTGCTTTTCCCTGACACGGTGAGTCATGGTGGCAGTGGCTGTGACCGTGGCCGTGGCCGTGCCCTGGCGTATCTCCGTTCACGTTGACCTTGGGCCGCGCCTGAGCGGGCCCGTGGGCTCCGGAGCAGGCGTTGGCGCGTCGTCCGGGACAACAGGAACACCAGCAATGCCAGACATCATCCCGCTTGGCACAGTGATGAATGAGGATGAAGAGACCGAGGGTGACGGAGAAGGCACCGTACAGGCAGCTGAAGATCATGTCCAGGAAGTGGCCCTGCGACACGGCCAGCGCCCCGAAAGTCCAGGTGGCCAGGAACAGGAAAAGCGTGAAGGCCGCCGTCCGTAGCTGAGCCTTGAAGGAGTGCTCGTTGGCCAGCAGCGCGGGGTTGATGGGAACCCCCGGGCAGCCGGCGGGGCAGTGGCTCCCGCTGGCCGAGGCTGCCAAGGCTCCGGGCTCGGCTCCCTGGTGGCAGTGTGTGGGCACGTCGACGGCGGCCAGCCTCTGCTGCTCCTCCGTCAGCTGCTTGAGCTCGTACTTCTTTTCGGGGTGTCGCCGCAGCTGGATGAAGGTGCAGAGGAAGTAGATGCAGGTCACCAGGACGATGAAGGCCACGGGGCCGAAGAAGGCTCCCAGGCTGGGCTCCCACGCCATCCAGCAGCTGCAACACACATGAAGACCGATGCATTTGAATAGTTTGATTATTGTTCATACAGAAATACAGAACAACAAAACTTTATTATCTGTTTTCTAATTCAGCGTCGAGCTTCGATACGTGCACACACACACACACACACACACACACACATCGTCTGTTTACTCAGCAGAGAAAAACTAATTTAAATACGCTTTCATCAAAGAGACATCGAGTGTAAAGAGGAGAGTGTGTCCGCACATGCTGTCTGTGTAAACATACATGCAACTTTGCTTGAAAAAAAAATCAAACGAGGTTTATTTCTGGAAGTAATTAATGAGGGAAAGCACAGTTGAGTTGCATTAAATGGTGCGAAACATCAACAGAGGGTTTGATTTAACCTTGAGAGCAGAAGCAAATCTGGGACTTACTACGGCGCTTGCTCCCCGCTGCCATAGTTGTCTATATTGACGGCTGCCGTGACCCCGCAGATGATGAGGGGCACTCCTCCGCTGACTAAATAAAATCTGTGAGGTTACAGAAGGGAAGAGCAGAGACAGAGAGAGTGAGACACGCATGAGAAAATGTCTGTGCAAAGGCATTTACAAATCCTGTATCTCACATCTGGATTACAACAACACGCTGTCAAAAATAAGACTGAGGAACAGTATTAGATACACAGGAGGGGGGGAAGATAATAACCAAAACACCCAGACAAACAAAGTGACAGATGAAATTATGGATTTGTGCGGCGACTGAAGCTCTTGGCTGACCCCGAATAACTCTGTATTAACTCAACTTAAGTGTATTGTCTCCACTATAATAACAAACCATGAGAACATATCTTTTGCCCAAATATGAGCATCTTGGAGGGAAAAAGAAAAACATCAGTGATGTGTAGCTTTGAGCTTGTCAGTGTGTTTGTGATCACACTCTCCGGGAGCGATCACACCTACAGTTTTTGTTTCATTGCTACGAACCGACGTGTAAATTTTACTACATAAACAAATCTGTTTCCTGTCGATGGGAGCCCGATGAACTTGTCAGCAGTCGTTTCTGCAATTTATAGGCTGTTCATTACAGCTCAGGAGATGAGAAGAGAAACCTGGATTTGAGCAGAAAGGGGGGATAGCGGATTTAAATTGGCTTATCAAACACAAGAAATTTCGGACTTCTCGCCGATAAAAACCGAGCTCGTACCCTCAGGTTGGTTTAAATCATTTTTTTCTTGCTGTACACACGCTTGCAAGTCTCTTGAAACACAAACCAAGAAACAACTGACATTTTCAAGTAAGTTGGTGTAGTCTGAATAGCAATTATCCCAGCTTTCCAAACAGAGTTGAGCTGCATTAAACAACACAGGGGGATTTGTTGATTCAAGTGCCTGTGAGACAATGAAACACAATTTAGGAAGGTCGGATTGAGTTGTAGATCCATTAGTTTGAAGTCTTATCAGATTCCAAAACACTGCACAGCTGTTCACAATACTACCAGGCAGGATTTTACAACTTTAGAAAGTTATTGCAGTAGTAATCATTTTGCTGCAAAGATTAGAAGACAATTAAAATGCAGTGTTCACATTACAGTGTGCTCGAACAAGAAAGTTGCCGTTTGCATCATGCTTTTAACTATGCTTTTGTGTGGGCACCATGTGTTCTCAACTTATCGCACTTTCTTGTCTGATTTACTTTGAAGCTCTTATCTTCATCATTGGGCTGCAAGGTGGCTCAGTGGTTAGCACCGTTGCCTCGCAGCAAGAAGGTCGCCAGTTCCGCCAGAGAACCCACGCTGCACGGGGAGAACATGCAAACTCCACACAGAAAGATCCCGGTGCCCCCACTGGGACGCGAACCGGCAACCTTCTTGCTGCGAGGCAACAGTGCTATCAACTGCGCCACCTTGCGCCCATAACATAGAAGTTGGGTCAAATAACTGTCATTATTTGATTCACTGAAGTGTTCACATACAGCAGCTGACTTGTGGGGTAAATATTCACCCACCCCCACAGACCACTTTGCCTCGGGCCTTCCAGAGTCTAGTACTGCTACTGTTTTACTTACAAACAGATGACATGCGTGTGTGTTTTGACCACAACTTTGAATCTTTGCGATGAAAAGCAAATCCATTATTTTCCACTTTATTTTTCATACAATGTAGGATGCAATGTCAGCTCTATGCTGGAGACAATGTGGACATTTACTGTAATTTCCAAAGTGGATGTCTCTTTGGCATGCAGAGAAACGACCCGTATCATCAGAAAGTTCTGCTGTTTACTTTTCATATGCAGTGGACCTATATTATGAATCAAACAGGACTTTGTGCTTATTCAGCCAAGATGCAGGAGTGTGGAAATGAGTAAAGATATTACTTTGCAGAAGTTTGATATGTCTGCAGAAAATTATGACTTCAGCCGGTACAAATATGCAGAAGTTCCTCGTCTGCTTTTTCTTGTGATATCAACATATCCGCCATCTCTGCAGTCACTGATGTTAACGTATCTATGCAATGACAAGCTAAGGAGTCATTCAAACAAAAGTACTGGGTGTGGAGACGGACATACAGCTGTTCACAGGTTGTAACTATGAATAAATCTAATGCAAATTCAACATATTTTTCCTTGCTGACTGTCACACTGACAAGCAAATAGCATTGTCAGAGATGTCAGGTCACGCAGTTTTATTCGATATGTGCTCAGTGGAATAAATACTGATAGAGCAACTGAGAAGATGGATGCAAGGGTTGACTCTATGCATCCTTAGCATGCAATTAGCTCATGTGGTGGCAGAATATCAGGGTCTCTCTCCTAATAAAAGAGATCTTGAGCTTAAAATCATATAAGGTCAGCAGAAGAAAGAAAAAAAAACTATAGCAATCTTGGTAGAAAGTTGTGAGAAGAATCTAATAAAGTATGATCTTAACAACGCTGCGGTATCCCCTGAGGTATGACCCTGCTTAGTTCTGTTTATACTGCGCCAAATTAAATGTTCCCAGGACGGACACTCAGATGCTAACTAGTCTGCACTCATTCCGCTACTTCAGGTACGCCTCTAGTCCGCTGGCATACGCGTGAACAATGATAAGGATAGTATGAGCCTTAAGAATTCAGTGCAGAAACAAAGCTAATCCCTCCCAGCGACTCCCCTCCCTGCACTGTCCTTGTCGTTTCTCTCTGCACTGTCATCCACTTTCCTATATAACACTATGCTATTTCCTCTTCCTTCCTGTTCAATCTAAGCCTCTGTCACTACTCTAACCTTTCCACCACTCCATCTTCCTCCATCTTCATCCTCAGTCCCCCCCCCTCCTCCTCCTCTCTTCCATCCCTTCTCATTGTGTCTCTCTTCCTCTCTCCCAATCTTTCCTCCGTCACACAGCAGCCTTCCCCAAAATTCAATTACAATCAAGATGTTTGTCTGGGCTGGTCGGTGAGGGGTGCTTGGGGGGTGGAGGAGGGGAGGTGAAGAAGTGGGGGTGGTGGCATTACCGGCCTGTCACTGTCTCTGAGTGGAACAGTTCCCTCGGGGGACCCTCCTCCAACAGAAAGCCATTTACACACCCGTCAGCCAGATAAGCATAAACGAGAAGAACTAGTGGATGTTAAAGCACCCTGCGCTTTATAACCCTCATTCCCCTGTATCCCCCTCTAGGAATGCCTGCTTGTGTATCCCGGAGACTGTTCCCGAGGAAAAAAAACACATGTAGTGTACGTGCAGAAGCTGTATCTAGCATGAATGATCAATTACAGCCTACTTGCTGCCCTGTTTCTATGCAAAAAGGTGCTCCATCACATTAAAACGCTCGCCGGTGCACTCACTCTTGCATGAACGTGCACACACACAAAGTCCTACCCACTTTAACACACACACTTTATTTTTTGTTGGCTGTTCTATTAAAGAAGGCCTTCAAAGTGTAACAAAATGGCTGTGTATGCAGAGTTGTGCTTTTGAGTGAGTTTAGGAACAGCAATGATCTGATATAAATAGACCCTGAAGTGCCTTTTAGCCAGCAGCTACACAGCGACTCCCCTCCCAGCCTTGTTCCCCTGCTTATGCACTGTCCTCTCCCTGGACGCGGTCCAGGATATACATAGCACAGCTGGGGACAACTGATGGTCATATCCAGCTCCGGCACAGGGCAAAGGCTTATGGGTAAAACCGGAGGATGCAACAATAATGTATGCACTCAGCTTAAAGTACATCCTGCAGGTCTGGATACCCTTTAATGGACAAAGTGAGCTGACTCTAAAGTGACAGTTCCCACATTTTAGAAAGTGCAGTACACTCATTTGCTTGCCAAGAGTAAGATGAGAAGATTGATACCACGGCATTAAAGGTCCCACATTATAACCCTTTTAAACAAGTTAATGCAAGTCTCTTTGTGTTTCACGTTTTAGCGTAAAATACTGCACAGAAAGCTCGTTCTACCAGATATAATGCTCCTGGTTTAGCTCCATCCCAAACAGACTATTCCAGAGTCTGCTTTATAGCCAACTGAGCTGCTGCAGGCACAGGCAAATGTTTGTTTTGCAGGTTCTCAAAAGACACAACTCTGCCTTTAATTGGCCTGTGCTGATGCTCTTACCCGAACCAATGTCAGCAGTCTAACCCAAACTCTACTCTCACATCGTCAGACCTGCTGGAGAATGGTCGGGCTACACCTCAGTATAATTCTGCTATGAGGAGGAAAAACAGTTCTTTAAAACTAATCACAACTGTCTAAGGTGGCACCAAGGCCAGGATGCATCAACGGTGCCACTGCAAAACAGGGACAGGGAAACTTTTGGTTGAACATTTACATGCAGGGAGGTGAGCACTGTCTTTAAAGTGGATAATTTAGCAAAACAAAACACAAGCAGAGGTGCTTTCTTGCATCACCCAAGAGTTCAGCATAACTAGAAATGTTCAGTGTTGCTCTTTGTATCTTATACATACTCCATTTAAAAACAGTTAAATATAGGTGTGAAAGGCGCCAAAGAAATCGTCAACTTAGACTCAAAGTTTACACCTGTTAGTCAGAATACCCAAACCGTAACATCCTCATTTTCCTCAGCCACCCTACAACAAACAAACAAACAAACAAAACTGCTGCCTTTAAAACTTCACTTTGGAGGTGGAGCCATCTGGGGAAGGTGTGTATCCTGTTGTGACATCACAAAAGGCTGTAAACCTGAACGGGATGTTTTTTTCTTTTATTTAGTGGGTCTCCAGACATAATTTGACCTGTTCAGTAGGCTAACTTCTTGACCTCTTGAGAGAAATGCTTTAGATTACATTTAGCAGATGTTGGAGATTCTATGGGCTGCAGTTGGTAGCACTGTTGCCTCGCAGCAAGAAGGTCGCCGGTTCACGTCCCGGTAGGGCACCGGGATCTTTCTGCGTGGAGTTTGCATGTTCTCCCCGTGTCGCGTGGGTTCTCTCCGGCTTCTTCCCACACAGTCCAAAAACATGTTAGGGTTAATTGGTGATTCTAAATTGTCCGTAGGTGTGAATGTGAGTGTGCTTGGTTGTCTGTCTCTAAGTGTATCCCTGTGATAGACTGGTGACCTGTCCAGGGTGTCCCCTGCCTTCACCCGAAGTTGGCTGGGAGAGAATTAGGCTCCAGCCCCCTGCGACCCTAGTGAGAATTAAGCGCTGCATATGGATGGATGGAGATTCTATACTAGAAGTGAACATAGTAAACGGACTTCACTCTTTCTTACAGGTGTGGTTCACAAAGCGCTGTACAGTTTTTGCCTCTTTGCTACTGTGTGACAGTGCTCGCCTGCCATCAGAAGCAACACTGTGTTTCATGTTCTGCCCAAGGTCAACAGCAAAACATCAGAAGTTCTTTCAAGCTAAAATGCTGCTTCAGAGGAATGATCTGCACCAACCGCAGCAGATGAATGTCAGTTTGCAGCGTGAACGGCGGCGTTGCAGGCGTGTCAGCCAACACAGCGTAGCAGTTTTCCGACAAAGGTCAGTGAGACGGCAGCTGGATATGCCATCAGACGCTGTCAGGAGTGGAAGGACAGGAAAAGAGGTAGGTGAGGAGGAATAGGTTGGTTGTTGGGAGGAGGAGGTGGGGGGTGGAGGGAGAAATTGATTTGTCTCCAGCTGCTAAGTCTCATTGCATGAGCCTGTCTGACGGGGAGCATTACAGTCAATCACTGTGGATCAACTCGACTGCTGCGCCACACGATCCCTCCGCCTGCCCCCAGACAAATTATCTCATTCACAAGCAGTGCATGATGGGAGAGCCTCGAGAACATTCCATATTAACCCCCCCCCTCCTCCCTCAATTCACGCAGGTGGCGGAGGATTTGCTTTGCAAGGAAAGTGCTCCTTATAGGTTGAGGGGATGCTTATCTGGTGGGGTCCTTATCCTCAGAGACTGTCAGTGACTCTTCACGAATACATTATTGAGCAGATTCCAGTTTTAATAATGTCAGACATATGATACTGCTGCTTTATAGATTTTTTTTACAGATATTAGTTTCAGGTGGAATGTGCGACAAATGCCCATGTGAGTGCAAGCAAGTAAGGCATTCCGGCAGGGTTCACATCCAGTGCAGCTCCACATGTATAAATCATCTCCTTGTGAGGGGTCGGCCATTATGTTTCCCTCTAAATCTTTCTTAAAGTTCAAGAAAATCCGAGCAACTGAAACACCACTTGATACCCTCCGGAAGCTTTGGGAATGTGACACATTTAAAACTGAATACAAGATTAAATGACAAAATATACATTTGTTCCGCTGTACCCTCTGCTTGCCTCTCAAACCGTCCTCTAACAGGATTTCTCATTGAAGCTTCTGCAGCTCTGCAGCACAGCCGCGATGTGCAGAAGAGCTCACACAGCACCTTCTCACCGCAGAGGAAGAGCACCGCATGAGTCCAAAAGCTGATCCTCTTAAACATGCCAAATGTTGGGAGTAAGCAAGAAACGGAATGAAATGATTGAGAGGGGAGGAAAAAAAAAAAAAAATCACAAAAAAGCAGGAATTCAATCTGATGTGTGTCGAAGCCAATGTGAATTAAATGGGTCATAAGGCTAAATACATTTAGATTTGTGATAAAGCTTCTGGCTCCACAGTCTCCTGGGTGATCCAGGTAATTAGTTATAGCATTGGGGTGATGCCGTGGTAACAGGTTGTTTAAGGCATTTGCTTCTTCATCCTTCCTCCTCCTCCTGACTTTCATCTGCCCTCCATTCTTTTTACTAAACCTTGCAGTGTAGTAGGAAGCCTCAAACAGAATATCTGAGCCAAAACATTTACTACATGCCCAGCTCAGCTATTCTAAATACTCTACCCCCATAAATGCCAGCAAGAATGCCTCTATACCTCTGGGGAAACTGTACAATAAGAGGTTTCACTGTGTTTACACAGGTAATTCTTAAAATATTTATCATATAAGGTACTTTACTGGTTATCAGACCAAACGCACACAGATCTGTAACCCTGTTTGGATGTTTATTTTCCTTCTGAACACAAATATATGGATATGTTCTTTTAATCATATTATAAATTCTTCTTTCTTCTTGCAATTCATACAATTACGAGCACATCTGGTCGGGAATTACTGTGTTCCAGCTTACAAAGCTACAGATAATGGTGATGACAACGCTTATAGTAATGCGATTACAGCAGCTGCTCGTCAGTCCTCTATAGTTCCCTCGGGCCAAACATCGCAGCATTCAAACTGCTTTAGTTAAACTGTTTCTGAAGTTTACGAGAACCTCTGATGAGCTCGATGACCAGACAAACTGAGACAAGGCTTTACTGAGAGCTGCTCATGAGTGGCGTTAACAGTTATTCATATTATAACAGTTCCCTTTTATATACAGATACTAGACAGACACTTGAGTTATTGTTACTGAGGCAGTTTGCACCTTGAATGTTCCTTCTAACTACAAAGTCTGACAAATTAATAGAAATTCACTGGACTCCTTTGTTCTGGCATGCATCAGTCTAACTTTCACATTAAGTCAATCATTATTGTTCAGAACCTGAGAAGTGAACACGAGCAAATGTGGGGGAAATCCACAAGGAGAGCCAAATGGTATAAACAGGAAGGTCTGACAGCTATGTCACTATGGAGTGAACAAAGCCAGAGGCTTGAGGGAATGCAAACTAGCTGTGGATGTCTCTGTAGATAAACGATGCAATAACTCATCTGTGTAAAGGTACTGCTGCCCTCTAAGAGGGCCAGCAAACACCGGGAGACAAGCAGTTCAAATCAAGACAGACACAAACATGCATGAGCTCAAATACATCTGAGGACCTCTGCTCATGAACACTCATGGAAAAGTAAGTGTGAGGACAAACGGAAACTGTTGGCTTTTTTGATGCATTTGAATACTTGATCCTTTGTTGAAAATGACAGATAAAGGTGACGTACGAAAACAAATGACACAGAAAAAGTTAAATTTAAAAAAATGGTTAGTCACATGGATATAAGTACGGTGTGTCATCATGCCAAGATCCAAAGAGCTCTCAAAGTGCTTCAGTAAAAAGGTTGTGGACCAAAAATAAATCCAAATGATTTGAAATAAACCATTCCAGTGTAGGACTGAACAAAAAAGACAGATGGATTAAATAACTCTATTTGCAAGGAATTGATAATTCTAGAATAACTGGGGTGATTTTGTAGGGGAGTGCATTTATATTGTATATAAAAAAAAAATAGTTAAATAAAATCTGTAAAAGGTACTTGGAGCCTTTCTCTTATCAGGTAACACTGGAAAAGATATCCAAAGTTCAGCTGTTACACTTCTTTTAGCGTTGCATGTGCTGATGGTCTAATAATCTAGTTGTGCTGCCTTGTGTGCATGGCGGCGCGCATGGACACAGCGCCCCCTTCAGGAGGCAGCAACAGCGAACGTTTAGTGTCTTATCCCTGACGTGCATTCCGCAAACCTTGCTGGTTGAATAATCCTGAAGAAACGCTCTCTCATCTTGCCTGTACTACTGTGTATGTACAGCAAAATGACAATAAACATGATTTGATTTGATTGATTGTGTGGCGGCAACAACAGCAAGACTTTGCCGATGCGGTGCTTGTTTGTGGTCATCCTTTCTGTAGCTGATGTTTTTCCCAACAACTGATGCTGCGATTCTATTTGTAACCAAATCTTTCTTTTCTTTTTCTGTTTGTCTCCTATTCCTCACTCATTCTGCAGTGCACACATGAAGGATGTACGTCACCATCACGTTCTGTGTCCTGTTAGTGAAGTTAGAGGAAACTCAAGTAAACTATGTTCTATCAGACAGACTCCTCCTGCAGGACAATCATGCAAAATAAATTCTCTTTTTGTAACAAGCAGCAAAAAAGTTTGATATATTTCAGCTAATTTGCTAAAATGCTAATTTACTACACTTCCTGCGATGTGAATACGGGGACATGGTGATGTCGATGCTGAAGCACCACATTGTGCAGCCACGTTCCAGTATAAAGGAATGTATTTCCAAGTGGGTTAGATTTTAGGTGACTGCCAGTTTGTCCAGGACGAGCTGCTCCAGCGAATTCAGCACAGGAGCCGACTGCTTCTAACAGCCTGAGATGGTTTCATTCAGATAAGGTGCGAAGGGGCCAAACATCCTCTGATATTTTTACAAAGAGCAGCAATTCAGCGCAAAGAAAAGGAAATACAAACTTCTGTGGCAGAGCTTTTCCTTCTTTTGTACCCTATTCATCATCTCACAGTTTATCTTCGGAGGGGGCTCGACCCCGTTATATAAAGTATCTAAAACTGCTCCACTGCAACCAGCTACTATCTAGCAGTAAAATGCCACTTACACACACATCTAACGCTGTAATATATGAGCGATATATGAGTCCCGGGGTTCTATTTCATTGCAGGATTCTGAGTGCAGAACTTTTACTTATAATGGGGTTTATTTACATTGTGGCGCTGGTGCTTTTACTGATCCGAATACTTCCTGCACCGCTGCCTGCGACAATAAACGAAGGCTGGGGCAGCAGTAGCCTGTGAATATAGAAGACTTCTATAGCACATACAGCTCACAGTCACAGTCAAGTCATGTACTGGAAGAAAAAAAAAATGAAATAAAGCAAATAATTGTGCAGTGAACCAGGCCTTGGCCTCTGCAAACACACACGTAGCCAGCAGCGATGGCCACGCAGGAAAGATGAGAAACACTGGTCCAGCACACACATACACACTGAAGCACATTCTGGTCTCCAAGGGTTGAGAAGGGTTGCAAGGAAGTTTGCGCTTACCTCAACAGGGGCTGTTTAGGGGGCGGAGGAGGGTCGCCGTCTTGACTTTGCGGCGGCTTCTTGGTCACCTGCTTATAAATGTTCCTGGCCGTCACCCCGAGCCACAGCATGGTCGACAAAGACGAGTAGTGCAGCACGACCCCGACCTGAGACGAGGGTGACAGAGGGTGCATCGAGTGCATCGAGTTATTTCTTTGACTTTCTTGAACTTTCGCTTGTGCGTTTACTGTACGCTGAGTCTCCGTGAAGAGTGTCAGAGCTGATTGAAATTCCTGTAACTCAAAGACGAGATGCTCGGGATGAGCTGCCACTCTTCTCTAAAAAAACACTATCAATGTCACTCCAAGGGTGTCTCCGTAGACGCCTTCCTTCAAGACCCAGGCTGCTTTGTGTTATCCTTTCGCTAAAAGACAATAGTACAAGAATGGAAAGACAGGTTCAAAAAGTGCTGTTGAATCATCAAGGTTGTCTGGGATAAGAGCATTATAGTGAGGTTATACTGGTGGATACTGAGCAGCTCCTTATCAGTTGAGTTAGAGGACACGAGGTGCGCACCGTGCATAACAAATCTGAATATAAATGATAGTCACGTCGACAACTATGGGCGCGTGATTGTTTTCTCAAAATGCACTGTACACATATCTCCGCTTGTTTTAATATTCATGAATTATGTTTGAATGGCTGAACTGATCTAAGTTTGTTTAAAGGCTTTGCCAGCTCGTAGAAACACAACGCCGGGGAAGAGAGTCGCGGGAAAAGACACAGAGAAAGCAGAATGGATGGAGAAAATTAAAATGCACTGAGCCTTTTTCCTCCACCCGGTCTGTTCATGATGTACTGGCAACCCGAGATACCCAATCAAATGGCTGCTCTCCGGTGCGATAGGCCCAGGGACTGAAGCTAGCGCAGCACAGTCGAGACGCTAATTGGAAGTGTCCTTGAGCCGGTTATAGAGAGCAGAGAGCGGGTGGTAAGTCAATCACCGCTACGGAGTTCACACACACACTTCAGAGCTTCATTAGTGGCAAGAACAGACAGAAAGGAAGTGTGTTTTTAATATGGGGATAAGGGGGGAGGAGGAGTTCTCAAATGAACGGTATGGTAAAGATGGGAGGGCGCACGGTGGCTGTAATTGGCTGATTAATGACCTGAATTCATTGTTTTACAGTTTCGACTGCCTGATCAAACAAACAACAACTAACCTCAGGGGCAGAATGTCAAATTATATCAGCCAGCAGTGAGAAAGAAATATTGCAATAGTTATCCATCTGGCACTTTTTCAAAAAATACTAATCACTCAGTTGCAGTCTGCACACAAGCTGTCGAGCACGTACACCACATACAGCACCAGGAAGTAACGAACTCATTTAACCCTCTGAGCCTCAGGTCATGTTCAGGGTCAATTCATTACCTTCACTTCTAGACTCTTATCTCGGTCTTCATAAGAACTAGCCATATGTGCCGTATCGTGTTTTTCCAAAACTATCCAAAGCAACCATCATTTGATGTGGTGATATTTGCAAGTTCTATTTATATTCGGCTTTATATCAAGGAAACAAAATGTATAATGATATTGTTGTTTTTACATATATCCCACCATAAATGTTCATTCATATCATTTCATAACTGTGTAAAGCAGTTTCTGGGTGTTTTATTTACCAATTTCCTCACTGTAGGTGTAGAATAAAGAGATTTTGGAGTAATATTATAATAGCTGAAACTTGGTTAAGGTTTCTGATTAAATGGTGCATAGGGGCTGCAAGGTGGCTCGGTGGTTAGCATCGTTGCCTCGCAGCAAGAAGGTCGCCAGTTCACATCCCGCTGAGGACACCCGGGATCTTTCTGCGTGGAGTTTGCATGTTCTTCCCGTGCAGTGTGGGTTCTCTCCAGGTTCTCCAGCTTCCTCCCACACAGTCCAAAAACATCCATCCATCCATTGTCTATACACCGCTTAATCCTCACTAGGGTCGTGGGGGGCTGGAGTCTATCCCAGCTGACTCAGGGTGAAGGCAGGGGACACCCTGGACAGGTCACCAGTCTATCACAGGGCTACACTTAGAGACAGACAACCAAGCACACTCACATTCACACCTACGGACAATTTAGAATCACCAATTAACCTCAACATGTTTTTGGACTGTGTGGGAGGAAGCCGGAGAACCCGGAGAGAACCCACGCTGCACGGGGAGAACATGGAGACTCCATGCAGAAAGATTCCGGGTGTCCTCACCGGGATGCAAACTGGCGACCTTCTTGCTGCGAGGCAAACAGTGCTAGTCCAAAAACATGTTGAGGTTAATTAGTGATTCTAAATTGTCTGTAGGTGTGAATGTGAGTGTGCTTGGTTGTCTGTCTCTAAGTGTAGCCCTGTGATAGACTGGAGACCTGTCCAGGGTGTCCCCTGCCTTCATCCTAATGCAGCTGGGATAGACTGCAGCCCTTGTGAGGATTAAGTCGTGTATAAATAATGGATGGATGGAAGATGAGCATTTAGACAAAATTTGCAACAAAGGAATTATCATCCACACTAAAATGAGTAAATTTCAAAGAATCGTGACACTGACGGACCAGAAGGTAATCTGAAAATGACAGTTTTATCGGCGCCGAGACCCGCCTCATGATACATGTTAAAACACACTGAGACTGTGAAAGCAGCAAGTGACCTGGCTGCTAAACACAGTCTTATTTTGATATTTGACATTGTGATATTTTGCTATTCAGCGTTGCTGTGCGCTTTCACCTGATGTGTCTTTGTTAGCAGAAAATCTGAGTAAACAGGAAAACTTCAGTCAGTGATGGGATGAGCGAGTAGCACGACGATCACACAGTTAACTAAACGGGAGCTGGAAACAGCCCCGGAAAGTCTGATGAGTGAAACGGTCGCAGCTCCCTGTCACCTCAAAGTCCCTCTTTCATCACTTGTGTAGATTTCATTGAGGCATAAATAAATGAAACAGCAAACCATTAAAAAAAAAAAAGAAAAAAAAGATTTAGACTTGGAAAATTGTCAAAGCCAAAGAGTAATGCTCCTCATTTTGCATAAATGCGAGGTCACGAAAAAGAAGATCAAGTTTGTGCTCGGCGACAGTCATGTTTCTTCCTGTTTGCCTGCAGTCCTACGCACATATATCACGTTGGGCGCAGTTAGCTCTGCAGTGCTCTCAGGTAAGTGGCCTTTCATGATCATTTGTGTTAAACGGCAGCAGATGTGACAAGACAAAGATGAAACGAAGACAGAAATGCCATGTTTGATCCAAGTCAGACGAGGATCCGGTGGGTAGCAGATGCAGAATGTGATTATTATGTGAAATGTAAACTCAAAGTGGAATCAGCACAAAAGGCTTGTTTGTGCCGCCGTCCGCACTTCAGGTAACGAGAACCAGCGAGAAAATATGGACCAGCGATCACCGTACTACCTGACAGAGGCTTTTGTTGTTTCATTTTATTATATATGTAAAGACAAGTTGGTGAACAGGAGCCGACTCTTTACCTGCAGTTACAATCATACCTCTGCCCTCTCTAAATCGTGTCCACTCACCATCCATCTATGATCGGAGTTCATAAAAATGCTAATACTCTCATTTGGTCACCTTCAATTACTTTTTATGGACTGGGTTTTGCCTGTCAGGCTACATGCAGGTTTCTCCACCATTTTAACAAAGGAAGTCATATGAGGTCTGACAGAGAGATTACTCAAGGCTGGAAATAAAAGACGAACCCCCTCCCCTGCTCTGTATGTTTTCTCATTACCTATATTTAGACTTTGTTTACTGTTGATCCCTAAATATCAGTCGGAAAGATAGAAATGCAAGATTATCTATCGCAAACGCATCGAGGAGCAAGAAAACTTTATTTTAAGGTCTGTGCATCAACAGTAATGACATTTGTATAGGAGGACTGTCCTTACACAGGTATTCTTACTGGCTTATTTAGTGTTTAATGTCAGGATAAAGTAAAGACTAGAGTCTCAGTGGGAAGAGAAATGTACCAATGAGCTCCTGAGATGCTTTAATTAATTGTATTGCTGATCTTTTTCTTCTATTTTCCTGTCTAGTTGCTGATTTAACGCCCACAAATTCATCACTGGGTATCAGTTAGCACTTTTTTTCTCCGTGAAAATGATCTCTAGCTGTAATTTTTACACCTTTCTAAGAAAAAGTCTTAATGTTTTGATTCCTGCCTCTTAAATGTGAATATTTTCCAGTTATTTTAAACTCTTATATGACCGTAAACTGAGTATATTTTTGTGGTTGTGGACTAAACAAGACATTTGAGGGCATCATTGTGGGTCTTTTTAATCTGTTTTAGGCTTTTTATAGATCAGGGAACTGATTGGTTATTCGAGGACAGAACAATCGTCAACGAAAACAAAAAGTGAGCTGCAGCCTAATCTATGCTACACAGTGGCAGGAGTAATTTAGCCGCATATGTTCAACCTGAAAACCTGGTCGTAGGAAGAATAACAATAAAAAAAAAAAAAAGCCCTGACTGTTGTGTTTTCGAGATTGTAATCAGTGCAGTTTCAAGGTGGAAACTTATTTATTTTTTGCTTATGATATGATATTTTCCAGCATATAAAAGAGACCAGGACTAAACAAGGTTTAAGGAAGGTATGGTTAAATTTCAGCCGTAGTACAGTGCTCGGATCCAGGGTTTACATTATAGATGCACACAACAGCGCAGTATGAAGCATGATTTATTCAACTTAATCAGAAGGAAACACACAGAGAGGAGAAGATGCAGAGTAACACGGGGAGTTGCCAGACCTCAGCGAGCAGCAACAAAACAACTCCCCACTAGAAATGTAAAACAGCACCTTACAGCTATGAACAGTACAACAACGTGCATCTGCAGAAAACAATTACTACAAAATGTTATGAGCACTGCAAAACAGCACCAGAGCCTTCAAACTGTAAATGTGGAGGAGTGACTATTTAACCTACAGGAATATGGACTTTCTTAAAGTTGGTCATCCAATCGTTAAAAGGTTAAATTGTTTGCCAATTTAAATTAGATCTTTGTTTGCCTTCTTGACTTTAAAATGCATCGTTTTCCACAGTGTTTCTGGTATGTTGGTTTATTTTAAGTGTTGATTTAGAGCAGCACCATTTAGTTGGAGTGTACTGTGGCGTTTTCAGTCTGGATA